GAAAGGACTCGGTGGATCTTTGGCGTCCTAGAGTGGGGAAATGATGAGAAAAAGGCTACACCCAGCTCCAGAAATTCCCTTTCTGAGTCAGGAGGAAATAAATTACTCCATGGAATTTTTCCCTGAGCAGAGCCAGTTTCTGTCTGCTTAGCATTGGTAAAATCACTGAGATATAAATAAATGAAGAGACCAATATTGAGTGTGAGCTAAAGGCTGGGACTGGCTTGGACACTTTCACATGCAGTCTGTCAGGTTTGGGCTTTGTGTTAGTCTATAAAACAAGAGCAATCTCACACTTCCCCTGTTAACTCTGCAAGCCCGTTATCTTGCCTTATCAGGTCATTCTGGGTTATCTGGACAGAGGACAACATACCTAGAAACTCTTCCATAATGACAGTCAGTCCCACATCTCGATGAATAGAGTTACAAATGCATCTTGCCCGTCAAGTCTTCTCTTGGAGAGCGTGAACTATGCTGCAGGAAATTCTTTTGCTGAGTCTAGGTAAGTGTGCGACAGAGGAAGTGGAGCACACAGAAGACTGTAGATGCGACCCTTTCCAGCTGGGAGAGGGAGCAGAGAGCCCAAGCCCAAAGGGTGACACTTCTCCAAGCCCCTGCCTCTATGTCCCAGCTGAAAGCTTCTTGGACCTTCAAATGTAGAACAGGCATTTGTGGTAAGTCCCAAGTCCACCCCTTCTTGTGCTAAGTCCAGCCCTTGAGGACACCTTCACAGGCTCAGAGGACAGGGAGGGAGCAAAACAATAGATACCCAGGAAAATTCAGACTCAATAAGAGGTAAATGATTTAGGACTGAATGGAGGGTGGGACTTGGTGATAAAATCTTAGTTGTGTACTGCACCATCTTCCCTTTTATTTCCTTTCTGCAAGATTCCCAGTTATTATAGCTTCCCTGGGCTCCAGGAATTAAGGGTGTTGGGGACAAAACTCCAAAATGATGATGTAACTGGGCCCAAAAGATCTGAGGAGGCAACAAAAGCCTGGGACAGGCAGCACTGAGCAAGGGACGCCCATTGTTAAGCAAAGGTCCTCCTAACTTTCTTTCATGATGGATGGCCTAATTTTAGGGATAACCTCCCAGTTCTTACAAGAGAATAAGGATTACAAGCACAAAGATCTCCAGGAGATCAAAAAATATGGGCCATCCAAATTATAAGAGTGGGGAATTTTTCTATGGGATTCAATAAAAGTTTTCATTTTTCATTGTTTTATTAAAATTGTGGTCCCTGTGGGCCTAGGCAAACAGGTTGCTCACTGGCATAGAAATGGATGATGAAAACCTGGGGTTTGAACTCCAATCTAGCTAGACTCAGACTCCACAGATTTTTCTTGTCAGCAATCCCTGAAGGAGCTTACACACCACATAGCCATACAACTTGAGAGAGTTTTTAAGCAGTGAGATAATTTTTCCATTTGTATAATTCTTTTCAGATTACAAAGCACTTTCCCATAATTCTTAAGACTACAGATGTCTCCTCAAGTCAGCATTATTTCCAGATTTCTTGGTTCTTTCAAAATAGAATTTGATAAATGCTTGTTTAATTCATTCAAAAAGTATTTATCAAGAGCTCTCAATGTTCCAAGCATCCCATTTGCTATAGAAACGCACCTGAGCAGCCAGTTCACATTTGGGATGAGTCTCAAATAACGAGAATTGATAAAGGAATGGCTCAAAAATGTTTTACCTTTAAGGTAATGCCCCATCCCCTTAACAAGAAGGACCACAGATGGGCCCTTTCATTACCTGGATTCCAGTAATTCCTCCAATTCAATGTAAATCGCTGTGTATTGAGCACCTACTATGTGCTAGGCATTACACTAGAATCTATATGTTGAGGACATGGTGATGAGCTAGATTAGGAATCAGCAAACATTCCTGGTAAGGGCAGGATAGTAAACATTTCTGGCTTTGCTTGCCATACAGTCTCTGCAGCAGCTACTCCAGTCTGTCATTGTAATATAAAAGCAGCCATAGGCAAGTCAAATGGGCATGGCTGTGTTCCAATAAAACTTTTTTTACAAAAACACTTGGGCCCTGGGCCATACTTTACTGATTCCTTGAGTTGGATAAACCAAGTTCCCAAGCTAGTGGGGTTTACAATCTCACCCCACCCTACTCCTAACATGTAGCTCTCTACTTGAGCTGTGTTCTCTCCCAAGGGAACGCTTTTTACCCCCACTGCTCCATCTGCTTGAAACAATGTTTCTGCCCATCCCCCAAAATACACTCTTATACCCGCAATACATTTCTTTAGGTGGTGAACTCTTGCTGAGTTGTTACAGATGGGTAAGGTTGTCTTTTCATGCTAAGTTGCTAAGTTTTCCAAAAAACAATGTGGCATCCTCTTCAGCAATTGTATTTTGCAAATGGTCTGTTTTATAAAGGCCACCGGAATTTATATTTCTAAAAATTAAGCATTCAATAGTATCTCCTTTAAAAAAAACCTTTAAAGAAAAATGTTTACAATTGTGCTCCATGACTTAGAATCTTGGAGCCAGTAATTCCTTCATGAAATGTGTTCGAAGCTACCCGAATTTATTTTTTGAGAAATGCATTGCCCCTAAGAAAAAGGAAGAGATGAAAGTCATTCTAAACAATGCTGGGGGTGTGATGTATGGTAGTGGGATAGACTTACATTCAGGTATATTTAGACTTAACCTAGTCAGCTCCTATAAAATAATTTAATAATTCACATTGTTCTGCCCTTAACTAGTAAAATAGGATAACTGTACAACAGGTACTTGTGAAAAGGATTGTTGCTCAACATCCAACAAAAACCCAGCTGAGACTTATTGCTCAAAGGGATGTCAGCTAGCAGCCCCTTGTAATTCATGATTGTCACTGAAGTTCTCATGAAAACCGAGGTGAGGTGGAAACCTTCAGTCTTGAAAACTGAGACTAATCAACAACTGCGGAAACAGAGATTGGGGCTTATTACATTGTAGTCAGAACTGGATAGAGAAACCCCTTTGGGCTTCATTCATGGCATCCTCTGTCTTCCTGTTACGAAAATGTCTGGAAAAAGTTAGGCAGGTGTTTCGATTTTTCTGTTCTACCCCATCATTGGTCCTAATTCAGGGATTTTGCCAGTTAGCTCTTTCTTATCCTTCAGATTCTAGCTCAAATGCCATTTTCTTAAAGAGGGTTTCCCTAAACACTCATGAAAAGAAGTAATTCTCTAGAATGAGAGCTTGCTTACTTTCTATTGAACATTTAAGTCAACACAGTTATCTTGTTTAAATATTTGGTGTTTTGCAGCCTGTTTCACCCATTAGAATCTGAGCCATGTAAGAACAGGAACTATGTCTCCTTTGTTTACTTATGTTTCCATAGCAACTAACACAGGTCCCAGTACATGCTAGATACTTGGTGAATACATCTTGTATGAATGAATCACGAATCTATATGGGAAAAATAAAGTTGGACCCCTGTCTCACACTATTCACAAAAAATAAGCTCTAGACGGGTATGAGTTGAATAAAAGATAATATGAACAAAATGTTTAGTTTTATAATGTTGAATTCAGAAAGACAGTCTTTCTGACAAAAAAAAATCCTGAGCATACGAAAAATTTAACCAATTTAACTATATAAAACTGCATGTGTTTTAATTTTCTACCCAGTAAAATACCAACTGACTGGAAAAAATATTTTGCAACAGAAGACTTAAGATTAATATCCAGCATATATAAAGTGTTTCCATAAGTCAATAAGAAAAAAAAGAACAAACAACCCAGGATAAAAATAAGCAGAAAATATGAAAGGGACATTCATGAAGAAAAATATAAACAATGGCCAATAAACATCTATAAAATTGCTCACTCTATAATGAGTAAAATATAAATTAAAACAATAAGGCAGTATCACTATTTGACCAAAAGTTAAAGAGGTAATGTTCTACAAAAATTTAGGATGATAAGTAATGTCTTGCATTATACAAAATAGATGGAATAGGCATTTTCATACTTTGATGGAGTGTACTTTGGTAAAGCTTGCTGGAGCCATAAATGGTAGTAACCTAAACAATCTTTAGTGTGATACCTTTAAATTCAGAAATTCTTCTTTTAGGAATCCTCCCTAAATAAATACTTACATATGCATACAAATATGCTTGTTTAGGAATATTTGAAGTAGTGTTTGAAATAGTTTATTTTAGTTTAGTTTAACAGTAGTTTATGTTTGAAATAGTGAAAATTTGAAATCAATCTCCAAGCTAGATAAATTTTAACCTACGGATGTTATGAAATATATGCAGCAATTAAGGAAGTGAGCTAAATCTATGTCAAATATTGAAATACAAAGATATTTAAAGTATATTGATAGCTGTAAGAAAGAAAATCATAGGGCAGTAAGTATTGTATGATTCCATTTCTTTTTAAAAAGATCTATGTATATGTTTTTGCAGAAAATGATCTATCTGTATATGAATATTACATACATTCAATGTAAGATCCATATGAGACCTTTGTGCAAATTACAAAAAGGTGCCCCTTTCCTCCAGTTTCCTTCCAGTTGTCAGAAAATTATAATAATAGTTTCCTTCCAGTTGTCAGAAAATTATAATAATATTTTGATTTTGTTAGAACAAGACATTTGATTGCCCTTCTGCTATAAAACCACCATGATAACTACAGAAATCTGGAACATCTCGATGTGGTATGCTGTGCAGTTTATAACCTGCAAAACCACACATTTAAATGCTTAGGAAAAAGCCTGACAGCACCCCACTGAAATACCAGTAATCAGCATCTCTGGAGGAAGAATAGAGAGGCAGGGTTAAGGGGAGGGATGGCATTCACATTTCACTTTCTCTATTTTTTTTATCATGAGACTATTCATGTATTGCTTGGGTAAAATAAAAGATAATTTAAAAGAATCAATAAAAGTGCAATTGACAAAGACTCAAATTATTTTAAAAAAATTTTTAATCATTCTCTTCTTACAAATCAGAAATAAACATTTGGAAAATGGAATGGAAAGAAAATCTTACAACAGTAATAACACTGTTACAATCAGAAATAAATGTAACAATAACAGTGACCATATACTTACCCTATGGCACAGCTGTTTAGCTCCTAGGCCTTTATCCAAGATAAATGAAAATATGTGTTCATAAAAGACTTGTAGAAATGTTTACAGAAGCTTCATTCATAAAAACCCCAAACTGGGAACAGCCCAAAAGTCCATCAACAGGGGAATGTATATCAAATAGTTGTAATGTGACATAATAAGAAATATGTATTTGGTCTCTGTCCCAGGTTCCTAACACAGAGCAACCCTTGTAATGTCTTGAGTAATAGGGGTGCTAGGAGCTCTTTTGTTCTAATATCTGGTCTTTGACCCTGGTTCCCACCACAATGCCCATAAACCCATTTGGAGTTCCTGGGTAATCGGATCACCAGGAAATGAGGCTACTCTTGGCGGGCTCCTTCAGGATGGAGGTTGATGGCCACCAGAAAGACCATCCATAATTAAAAGCCATGACTGGAACTTTCAATCCCACTCCCCATCCTCTGGGGTGGGGAGAAGACTTACATACAGATTGAGTTAATCATTGAATGAGCATATGTATGATTAAGCTCCATAAAATCCCCAGCCTTCTGGGTTGATAAATTATCCACATGCCAAGAAGGTGGTGCACCCCCAACTCCATGGGCACAGAAGCTCAAGACCCTTCCAGAACTTGCTCTATATTCCTCTTCAACTGACTGTTCATCCATAGCCTGTATCACATCTGTTATAATAAATCGATAAATGTAAATGGCTCCCTGAGTACTGTGAGCCATTCCAGAAAATTATCAAATGCAAAGAGGGGGTCAGGGGAACCCCTGGTTTATAGTTTATTGGTCAGAAGTACAGGTGACAGCCAGAGACTTAGAATTGGTGTCTGCAGTGAGGGGCAGTCTTTTGGGACTAAGCCCTGTCGAGTCTATGCCAACTCTGGGTAGGAAGTCAGTGTCAGAATCACTCAACTTGAGGGAAAAACACACACATCTGATATCAGAAGTACTCTGTGGGTAGAGAAGTTTTCCTTTTTAAGTAGTATTCCCCAATAAAAAATATTGTGGAATAACCGTCAGCAATAAAGAGAACAAACTGCCAACACACACAATGACCTGGTGAGTAAATGAAGCCAGGCACAAAGGAGTACACCATGCATTATTACAAAGTATGACTGCATTTGTGCAAAGTTCTAGAACCAGCAGCACAAATCTCTGGTAACACAACAGAAATCAGAACTGTGATAGCTTGTGAGGCATGGGGATCGGTTGGAATGGGGCACTCACTGGTATGAGAGAAATGCTCTGTCTCAGGGTCGGGGGTGGTGTTGGTGACATCCGTAGATACTTTTGTCAACATTCATCAAAGTCTAAGGTTAAGATCTATTCATTCACTGTTTGTGAATTCTATCGCAGTAAAAAAAAATAAAATAAAGTAAAAAAGAAAGAATTGCAAAGAAGTACATGACAGGGAAATATTTGACATTTCTTTGAAGAAATATCAGATTTCTAGGTGGTGACAAAGGATGATAGAGGCAGAAACTTCAAAAGTTCTCCTGCCTGTCTGCATAGTTTATTTCAACTCTGGGTGCATGGAAGGCTATTAGACCTCTGTAGGCTTAAAAACGACTCTCCATGACAGCAGGCCCCGGTAACCATCCTCCACTCATTAGCAGAGACTGCGGAGACTTACACAGATCTGGCTCACAGGACATCAACCAATTCCTGGGACACATCACAACTACTGCTCTCTGATGATGGCAGATGGCATTCTGCTGATCAAAGTGCAAGACGTCCAGAAAGAAACTGCCAAGCCTTACATAATCCATCTAGGAATTTGCAAAATAAATAAATGAATATCAGTAACATCAATGGGAGCAGAACTTCAGTGGACATACACTGATTTTACATGCATTCCCCAGCAGCAGAAAAGTGAGATTAGGAAGAGCAGCATTTAAAAGCCAGCGCAAATGCGTCTGCATATCCTCATATCACAGCCCAAGCCTTGCACAGAGGCAGTGCAGGGAAAGGCGATGGCTCATTCCTATTCTCTGATGGCTCCAAGCGGCTCAGGAAGAGATGGAAACAAACACCAGCTGCTCAAGTTCTGCCCCCACCTCCTGTCCTCATCCTCAAGCTTTGTTCAAAAGCTGGGATTGAGATAATAATATCATGACCCTGTCTGTCAGAAAAGCTCAAGTGGAAAAGTTATCCTTACTTAAGAAAAAAAAAAGATCATTTAAATAAAAAATGCAAAAATGAATTTGTTCATATGAAACCTAATGAACTGGTAAGTTTGCTCACTGGAAGGGCTAGAGCAGAACATCTGAAGATAAGACAACAGGGGTGGAAGCCAGCCAGCCAGCTCCGAACAAGAGTCCCAGCCTCCCTGGGGCCTGCTCCCATTCAGCTCCCCAGCTCCCCTGCCCACCCTCTCCATGCCTTCCAGGATGAAGCCACCATTTGTTTGTTCCTAAACTATCTACACAGTTATAGAAGTGATTATAAAATATGGTCAGCTCTTGGGGCTGACCAAAATATATGTATTAGAGGAATTTCCAAGAATCAAGGCATTTTGAGCACAAACATATAGCTGCATAGCTCTCCCCCTAACCACCCCATCCCTGACCTTCCAAATCACAACTACAATTATCAAAGAAATAGCAACGTGTTGGAAAATGACATCTGGAATCTGAGAATGTCACCCACATGCCGCTCACTCAGTAAGTTCCAGGCACTGTCCTAAGTGCTGGGCTGTATACTGTAAGTGTTCAGCTATTCCTGCTAAATATAGAGGAGAAAGCATGAACCTGATGCTATGCCTTTGCAATTGGTGTGCTGTTCCTGGGATCCTCTGTGAACAACTGGTTTTACACCCTTTCAACCACTGTGAGCCCCCTGACAAGCAGCACGCATACATATACTGTCTCTGATAATTTTTTGCTGTCTCACTTTGAACAATAAATGAAAATTATTGAAGGCAGGGATTCAAAAGGATATTTGTACAACCATGGTCACTGCAGCATTATTCACAGTAGTAAAACTTGGAAGCAAACCAGGTGTCCATCAATGGATGAATGAGTAAACAAAATGTGGTATAGACATGCAATGATTATTCAGCCATAAAAAGGAAGGCGATTCTGACACCTGCTACAATATGAACTGTGAGGATGGTCTCAGAAGGACAAATACTGTAAGATTCCACTTAGATGAGGTCCCTAGAGTAGTCAAATTCACAGAGGCAAAAAGTAGAATAATGGTTTCCAGGGATTGCGGGAGGGGAACAGAGAGGTAAGGTTTAACAGGTACAGAGTTTCAGTTTGGGATGATGGAAAAGTCCTGAGATGGATGGTGGTGATGGTTGCACAACAGTGTAAATATACTTAATGCCACTGAAATATAACCAGAAAAAATAATTAAAATGGTAAATTGTATATTTTGTATATTTTACCATAATAAAAGAAAATGACTAGCAATGGATAATCAGACACTTGAGAAAGACCACTAATAAAAAGAGAGCAAAACAAATAAACATAAATAAAGAACTGCATGGATGCAGAGATAAGGAGCAGAAGCAAAATCTATAAATGGTCTCTTTAGTGGGCTGAAAAAAGATAATGCCCCTTTAAACTACATATTACAAAATGAAATTCATACTACACAAATGATCATTCCAAAAATAAAGAAAAACTTTTGGAAATTAAAATATTTGATTGCCAAAATTCAATAATAAAATATAATGTTGGAGAAATATTCCAGGAATGGACCAAAAGATCATGAGGTAGAAAATAGTAGAGGAAAGAAAAGATCATTTTTTGGAAATTGCAGTACCTAAATAATGGGACTTCCAAGACAGAGAAAATAAAGTAAAGGAAGTTATCAAAGGAAAAAATAGGAAAACATTTTTCAGAAGTGAAAGGTGTAAGTGCCTAGACAAAAGGGGCCCCATAAAATACTCTGCAAGATGAGTAAAAAAGCCAAATAAGGCACATCATTTTGACATTTCAGGACCCCACGGGTAAAGAAGGGGTTCTCAAAACATCCAGAGAGGAAAAAAATGCTAAGGATAAAAAAATCAGGACACAAAACAAGTCCCTTATAAGCAACATTAGACAGTAGAATATAATGGAGCAAGCCCTTCAGAATTCTGAGGGAAAACTTACTGCCAACCTGCAACTTTATACCCATCTAAACTATAAATTGAGTGTGAAAAAGGATACAGATGTTTTAAAACATATATAAGGACTCAAAACTTTTCCTTTCTGTTCAGTCATTCTTAGGAACCTACCAAGAATAAAAGGCAAACACAAAATGTAACTGGACAGTGAAAAAGTCCCAAGATAGCAGCTGTGTGTCATAGTCTAATGTAGGCTTCAATTCCACAATGAGACTTTTATGTCCTTATTTTTCTTGACATCTAAGCAGCAATCACTTGCATTGTTTCATCAAATCTTCCCAATGACCCCTATAAAGTAGACATGATTTTTAACTCTACATGTATTAAAAGTTAGATAGACTATATGTCAGGGGAAGATTTTAAGGAAAGATGAGAACTGCTTTTTGATTCTTTGAACTGACAATAGTTGGGTATATGGATCTGAAGCTTAGGACACAGGTCTGGGCTCAAGACAGATTTTAGTAGGAAAATGAAGTCATAGGAGGGATGAAATTACCTAAGGAAGTCAACATATTTTAAAAACACAAAGTTGAAAACCATAAGAAAAATTATTATAAATAAGAGAACAGATCAAAATGAATAGAACAGAAATAGTAATCTAAGCTGTATCAGAAGAAAGTATCCATGACTTACAGAAATACCAAATGCTACCAATGAAAAAGTTTTTTCATCGGCCTGGAAAAATTAATAGAAGGAGACCAAGATCAAGAACTGCCTTAGCTGAGTTTGTTTCATTAGGAAGAGGGTGAGAGAAAGAGAGAGAACATTTCCAAATAAAAAATGGTGGTTCCTATTAAGCGAACTAACCTCTTTGGTCTCATGCTTCCATGAAGAAAAACTTCTATGAGAATAACACTCCTAGCTTTTCTCTTCCATCTCCACTAATTTTTCTACATAAGAGGAGCAGTAATTTGTCTGATATTTACCTTTGAGAGAAGGAACTGAGCATGTCTGGCCCAGCCCCTCTCCGGTTAAACTCATCAGCTATAAAAAGCATGCACCCTGTCTCCTTACCTGCCAGGTGAGGTGGTAGGAGTCCAGCACTCAGGATGGAGACATGCAGTTGTACCCAGACTGCCCATAATTCTGTCAGAGACCATCTTGCTGCATGCAGACTCGCTCTGAGTGGATGGTATTCTAGTGATTGGTCTGCCACTGTGGGAATAACGTTGGATATAAACTCTTTCACTCCGAGAAAGTTCCATTGTCATTTTTCCAGTCTCATTGAATCCATAGTGAACTTGCCCAGGGCTGAAACCCATTGACAAGACAATTGGCAATGTCGCCAGGATTCACTGCAGACCGAAGAATGGAACAGGCAGCTCTCATGAGAGGAATGTTTCAGAGGGCTGTGCCTATGATTGGGAGACCCTGGATTGTCCCCTAGTGGGCATGTGGCCGACATGGCTTGCCTCCTAGAGGACTGGGCCCCACCCCAAGACTGGAAAGGAGTGGAGGCAACACCTGAGGCAGTAAAGTTGGCTTTCAGCAAAATAGGGAATTCCTTAGAGAAACAGAGTGCCTGTGATGTGGGAATGGTGGGGAGTTTTTCTTACAGTATTGAGAAAGTCTGTAAGGGAGAAAGGCGTCCTCCTGCAGGAAGCATGAGAAGAGGTATCATGAGAACATGAGCTGTGAGGTGCACTTGAAGAGGTAAAAAATTTGTTGATGACTGAAATGGCATCATTATGAAGTGCTGTGGAAATGGTAAAGGATGTCGTGGTACCCTGAGAGGAAGCAGCCTGAGAGGCGGCGGCACAAGAAGCAGTGACAGGAGAAGCAGCACAAGAGTGCATGTAGGCTGTCAGGTGCCGAGGGCAGGTGAAGGATGTAGTGGAGTCATCAGCCCCAGAAATGGAGGAGCGGAGGTTTGATAAACAGGTGGGGGTGGAGGCCCTGCCCGTGCTGGAGGCATCAGCCCCTCCTCAGTTGAAACTCCACCTGATTGAAAGTTGGCACAAAGCCCAAAAGGAAATAAAGACTCAGCAACTGCGGGTTCCTGCAGGAGAGGTGCAGCCCCCTCCCCAGGTCGTGGAGCACTCTGCTCTGCTCCTATCCTCAGGCTCAAGCAATGAAAGCACAAAAGGAAATACAGTCTGCTACTCGAAGGAAGAATTTAAAGGGCCCCTTGAAGGTCACAAGGACCCAGATGTGGCTTGATTTGATAAAGGCAGGAGCAGACACAGAGAAATTGGATAGAAAGTCAAATAGAATCTTACTGGAGCTATAGCAACAACTGAAATCAGAGCAGTAGTTCTGGACACTGAGAATGATGCAGAAGCCAGAGACAAAACAATGAGACCAGCCTGTGTGTCTGCAAGACTTCCTGCTGGAGAGGCTGGAGAAGGTAGGTACTGTACAGCCCACAAATGGTCCTTTTGGTTAACTCATCTGGCTAGAACTGGTTTGAATACAGCCGAGATGACCACTTGGTGGCAATGGATCTCCTCCAGCTTGAGGGTTATTATAATTCCTGTTATTTGTATATTGTTGTAGTCTCTGTTGTTATTGTGGAATTTGGCTATAATGTTCCAGTTTTCTTGCACAAGGATCACTGCAGAAGATTGAGGGTGCATAGATTGAGAGGCAAGAATCCTGGAGGGGTGGAGTGTGGAGAAAGTGAAGGTTCCTATGGCCAGGATTCTTACCCGGCCCTGGTTGGCTTGCTTACCACACATGTATGGGCAATATGTTGTTGTTGACTCTATATAAAGAGCTCCGCCTAGTGCTCTGAGCTGCACAGCTGCAGGAGAGCAGAGGCTGGGGTGGTGGCAGCCCCAAGGAAAGAGACTGAGATGGCTGCAGGGGCAGAGAGGCCCAGAGGCAGAGACCGGCTTGCTGAGGGCAGACTCGCTCTGAGTGGACAGGATTGTACTGGCTGACCTGACACCATGGGAGTAAGTTGCGTATAACCCTTTCACCCCAAGAATGTTCCATCTTCATTTTTTCAGTCTCATTGAATACATAGCGAATTTGTCCAAGACTGAAACCCATTGGCAAAAATCTGATGTTCTGAATTTCATGATATGTCTATGATCAATGAGAGACAAAGACCCTAACCTCACTGCTTACATTCCAGGGGGTAATAAGCAACAAATAAATGAATATGAATTTAATGTGATGGGAGTTAATAACTTACAAAGAGTTTCACAAAGGTTTCACACTCTTCCCAAGGTGGTGTCTAAGCTTTGGATAGCTTGTACAGGAGAGAACCACCACATATGGAGGAAAGAGTACATTGCTGAGTGGAATTTTGACAAACACTTCCAAACTGCCTTTTCAAATGGCCATACTGATTCATAACCCCACCAATAGTAGGATTGTCTTCTCCCCGTTTGATAGGTGAAAAATACTGTGATCTGTTTTCATTTCCCTGATTAATTTGCGGTGCGCCCCTTGGTGTTATTTATTTATTGGGTTGTCCAACTGATTTATATTCTTCCTTCCCAGACCTAGTTACAGGTTCCAAATTTGTCAGGGTTTCCAAGGTTCTCTTACCACAGTCTTTCCTGGAAAGTGTACGTGACATAGCTTCATGCTTGATTTAATCACCCCCTTTGTATTCAGTGCTTGCTCTGGACACAGTCATGTGATTCCCCACCAGTATCTTATTTAAGCCCCACCACATGCTGAAAGGTAAGTGCTAAGTGTCCTCATTGCACAGATAAGTAAATAGACTCGAAGATGACAAATTACTTATTTCAAGGTCCTACAGCAAATAATTGCCGGAGTGTGGGGAAAATGGAATTTCCTATGGCCAGGAACACCTGACCCTAAACTACTTGATGATGTAATTGCCCTACTGCTAGGCTAATGATTACACACCCATTGGCAATGAACTGTTATTGACTGAGTCACTATATAAAGAGCTCTGCCCAGTGCTCTGGGCAGAGGCAAAGATGGAGGTGGATTACAGACCTACCACTGGGAGAATAAAGCCGCGTATAAACACTTTAATCCCGAGAATGTTCTGTTGTCATTTCTAAGTCTCACTGAATCCATAGTGAACTTGCCTGGGGTTGAAACCCTCAGGCAAGACAAGGATCTAGGATTCAAAATCATGTCTTTTGATCTCTAAAGCCTGTGCTCATTTCCCTTAAATATTCTCATCATTAGATTTTGGGAGCAAGAGCTAGTCTGCCACAGCATTGGCTGTTTAGGAGTTCAACTTGCACAAGTTGAAAAAATACATTCAGACTGGCGCTCCATGTATTTCACATAAACAAAGCCTTTACAGTTGTCTACAGATATTCCCATAAAGTTGTCTTCAATTGCCACTTTTAAAATATGCTATAAAATCAGGAAAAAAATGTCCAAGAGGGATTTTCTAAGCTTCCAACATTATTTTCTTCTGCACAAACATTCATATAAACATCAATGTGCCTAATAAACAATTGCATGCCAGTTACTCAGGTCCCAGACAAATGGTGATTACTCTTAAATCATGTAAAAATAAAGATCACAGACTCCTTAAACAATGAAGTTGGAAGGAGTCACAGCACCCACCCTGCCCAAGGATAGCCAGTAGAATAACTGGAAGTGGTTGCCTGGCACAAGTGGCAAGGAAGCTGGAGTGCCCTCTGGGCTCTGCAGGAAGAAGAGCTTTGATCCATTGGTAATGTCTGCTCTGGACTGCGGCGGCCACAGGCCTTGGGGGCAGCTGCCAAGAAATGCTGAGCCAAGAGGAACACCAGAATGTCACTGGGATACACCAGTTCCATGTGATTTGTCTCACCCCACCAAAGCAGACAGCACCCTGAAATGTTTTTAAAGCCCATCTCTGCTGAGTCCTTTTACACTTTTCTCATGCACTCCTGGTAAGCTAAAATTCTTAATCTAAGTATCTAGTTCCTTTTTCTCAGTAAAGGGAATTTATTTTATCATATGCTTTTTTAAAGTGGGCTAAGGAGCCCTGAGGAGAGAACCAGAACAACACGCTGAAAGAAAAAAAAAAAATCGGGGGCTGGGAGATATTTTACAGAATTTATCAATGACTGCTTTGCCTTGTGAAGTAAATTAACAAATTCAATTTTTGTTAATAAAAAAAGTCAGTTGCTCTTCTTTCTCCTCCCAAGCCAAATAAATACTAAAAAATCTTGTAAGCAGGGGGTCCAATCAGGCCTGGGATGCCCACATGTCACCATCTGGCCCCACCGCCAGACCTGTGAAAAGAATATGCATGTCATATATTTGTTACGTCTGATTGTGTCCAAAGCCTGCATTCTATGGGGGAGGAAGACCAGAGAGACTGTGACATTTGTCTATAAATACGCAACTGGTTAAGGGTGGAAGAAGAATGAGAACCCCTTTCTCCTGCTGGTTGGTGGTTTAGCGCTGATTACCTTACAGCTCCTTGTCCCACAGGTAAATAGCCATGGGCCATCTCTTTAATCACCCATCACTTGTCAAATATAGACACAGAATCAAAACAGCACAGTGTCAGGCAGCAGCAAGATGCTCACAGTCTAGTGGGAGACCGGACACTCTAAACAAGTTGCAGGAACTCACCTGCCAGAGGAATGCCTTAGAAGGTCTTTGAACATCCTTGAACTTGCACACAACATTGCTTTCGGGCCTCTCCACTACCCCTGCCAGCGCTGACAATTGACTTCTTTTCTGAAGCTTATATTTTTAACACTTCATGGTAGTTACTGTGTGCAGAACAATAAAGAACCAAAAATAACCCAAGCTCTTCCCTACCTCACAGTCTGTCTTTGTACCGGCTCCTCTCTCTGGCACGAATGTCCCCTCCCATCAATCTTCCCACCACTGGCTCCTTCTTGTCACTGTAGAGCTCCCTTCTTTTTATAAACTGTGGCAAAACGGACATCACATAAAATTTGCCAATCTTACCATTTTAAGTGTACAATTTGGTGGCATGACGTACATTCACAATGTGGTGCAACCATCTCTTTCCAAACTTTATCACCACCCTGAACAGAAATTGTACCCATTAAGCAATGACTTCCCTCTCCCTCCTCCCTCCAGCTGCCGGTGACCTTAAATCCACTTTTTGTCTCTTTGAATTTGCGCATTCTAGATATTTCATATGAGTGGCATCCTGCAATATTTACCCTTTTGTATTGGCTTATTTCATTTAGCATAATGTTTTCAAGATTCATCCATGTTGTAACATGTATCAGAATTTCATTATT